TTTAATTTATATGCCGCCCACACTACCCAAAGGTCTCTGGGCGGCATATAAATTAAATAAATTTATAAAGCTAAATGATTGAAACATTAAAGAAAATGTAATCACACCGCTTTCCCCCATCAACCTGAATCGCTCCCACTATTAAGCCAGGGACTGAACCCGGGGACACAAAGCAGGTGTCCGTCCCCACCCCCAAGCGAAGCGAAGGCTTTTCCCATCACTTTCGGCTCCTCGGCCCGGCCCGGCCACCCTGCAAGCTGCCGTCGAACGGATACGAAGAGCTCGCAGAGGGGCTCAGCCCTTCCAAAGAGGGGCCAGCGCTCCGGGGTCCACCCTGAACGCCAAAGGTCCCAGGCTCAACCCCCAGCAACTCCAGGTAGGGCTAGGAAAGGATCTCGCCAGAAACGGTGCCCCCCACCCATCAGCGCCAAGACTCCCGCAGGACTCCGTCAGGATGAGCCCGTCAGCTCGGTTCTTATTCAAATCTGTGCATTCTTAGCAGCCTGAGGACTAGGGCCTTGTTTTGTATTGACGGATGTGGTGTAGGTCGGACATATAGGCCCTCATTCACTTGCAAAATTATCCTCTGGGATCTGAAGGTAAGACTGGAAATGATCAGATCTTGGAAACGTGGTCTTTCTACTGCAACTTCCAGAATCCCCCAGCTAGCATGGGACATGTAGTAAAAAAAAGGGGGGGAGCATATTTCTGAGCTCTAGGGGAAAAAAACATTGCCGACCAAGGTAGACCAGACTGGGCCATGTAGGCCAGCGGTAAGGCAACCTCCTGTCTTCTGTGGTAGCCCAACCTTGACCGGTGGCTTTCAGGATCACGCCTGACCCCAGCAAAAACGGGAGGGTGTGGGTTTTCCAGACGGTGGTGCCAGGCTTGCTCTGAGGGGGGGCAAAGAAGGGCGGGCATCGTGCCAGCTGGGCCACACAGGCCAAGAAGGAAACAGCCGTGGCCGAATCCTTCCCGGTGGCCCAATAGCTGCTGATTGAAGATAATGGCCAGGCAACTCCCCACAGCCAGCCGGGCTTCTTGCTGAGTCACGATGGGCCGGCAAAAATCTTTTTTAAAGAAAACAACAACCCAGGAGGGAGGCTGGCCGACCAGCTGACAGCCCGACGTCTCCCTAGCCGGCTGCATCGAATGTGTAATTACCTCACTGGAGCCCAGCACGAGGCGCTGCGTGCGGTTTCTCTTGCCAGCATGTTTTTACATGCATTTAAAAATACTTTTTTTTGAGAGGGGTGTGTGTGTGTGTGTGAGAGAGAGAGAGAGATTAAAATAGAATTCCAAGAATCATTCATGAGCCCCCTGACCTCATCCCACGTGAGTTAGTTAGAATAAGCGACAGATAGATAGTCGCCCCTCTGCCTCAGGCAGCAAAATGCCTTGGGCTACAACTCACATTTCTATCTTCCCCTGAGGAACTTAGAAATGAAAAGGATATTTTCTGTATGCTCCCCCTGGTTCTATGGGAAGTAGGTGGGGGGTATCACTGGGTGGGGGCTCTGGATTACATT